TTTGTTTGGATAGTTGTCCATTTGAGGCATGGGCAAATGAAGGACTTTGGTCATTTTGGACACTTAAGTAATGTTTGGTGTCTGTTTCTTAGGAGTGATTGGGGGAGGGAAGATAATTTTAGCTATTTATTTGTAATATTTTAACCCTTTATCTGTTTGTCTTTATACAGTGTTTCTAATTCTATAAGGTTCAGGGTTCAAAGTAATGGGAGGTGGAAGAGCAAGGCTTATTTGGTGGTAGAGAGCCTATAGCTTGTGCTGGTACTGTAGCATTAAGCCCAAACAGATTAGTCAGAGTCCACCTTTGGAGTTAAATAGAAAAACCAAAATGGTATTTTTGTTTTAGGAGGTTTATCGTAGGGTTCAGACATCATAGGAATATTAGGAGTTACCTCTCTGTGGAGGTACTGATTTATAGTCTCTTTTGTCCTTTAATAAAGGCTGGGCTGGCTTTTTGGGAAGTAAACATGTTTTCAGATGCAGTAAGGTTTAATGTACAGCCTCCCTGACCCAGTGGCATGAAAACCATTACAGAATTAATAGTTCTCCTATTTCCACAGTGTGCCAAAAGTCCACATCCCAGCATTTTGTTTGTAGGAGAACTGATGCCATTCCTGAGAGCTGGGCTCCTTGTTTCTCTGCGTCACATGGAGGAGGAGTCCAGACTTCAGTCACTCCACTGTATGCTCCCTTAAATAACACAGTAAAAAATTTGCAGCCATAGTTCACTTAAAACAATTTCAAGCTCACTTGAAGTAATGGGGGCCTGGAATGCTAGGTGGGCATGAAGATACACCCTTGCTACTATGTAGCAATGCAATTGGACCTTTTTGGAGGAACAGGTCTGAGTCTGGATTCTGGGGGACATCAATAAGAAGCCCTTCTCATAAATATAGAAATCCAGGAGACCATTTGAGTGCAACACAAGTTCTCAGTATTTGGAGGGTCCTCTCAAAATTCTGCGGCCTTACTTTGATTTTGACACCTGCACTGTGCCATTCCTGATGATTCCATTCAGGATCTGTATCAGCAGGACGGGGCACAGTCCCCAGCACAACTCTTCTGGATTAAAAAAAAAAAAAAAAAAAAACCAGGTGATTCATTTGTGTGTGTGTGTGATAAATGGAGTGACTTCATCAGCTATTGAAGAAGATTTCTATATTCAGCTCTTTCTGCAGGTTGGAGTTAGCATAGAGTTGGAAAATCAGCTTTGGCGTTCTTTCCTGACTGTCTCTGATTTCCTCTAGTGTTCTCCCTTTTCTGGTCATCAGCTCTCAACAACTCTGCCACTTTTGTGTCCCAAGGTAATAAGAAGTAGGAAACGAAACAGTGCAAAGTGGAGCAAGAAAAGTTATCGGTTACCGTATCAGAGTCAAATGTCTTGGGTGACACTAAGGAGGACATGGGCAAGGTGATACCAGAGTGCTTTATCTTGTGATGCTGATACAGTAGCAGCCTCTCAAACATATAACCAGGTTGGATTTCTCACAAGTTTCTCACCTAGTTTTGAATCCTATCCCATTGGTTTCTGCAGAGGAAAAAAAAATGTTACGTGGTTTTTAAGTTTGTTCTGGGTGGGGAAGATCTTATGGGGAATGTACTACATATCAGGGGCTCAGCTTCCCCAAGTAGAGCCAACAGATACCAAAATGAGTAAACTGGGAAGCCTTTTCTCTCTTTCTGTCTTCATCCCAGATCAAAGAATCCCGAGTTAGGATCTGGATGAAGGATAAGCCCCTGAATTGTCGATGGGCACACCCCACACACTGACCCAGCATCTGAACTTGCTTAACAGGGAGCCGGGGCTAACCTGCTTCACCCTGCCTGAGAACCAGGGAGCACTGCATTTCTCCACAGGGTGGAGGAGAAGAGGCAGAATAAACCAAGCCTGGGACACCTCCCTCCTGTCTAGGTGTCCTCACTCTCCTGTTTCAAAAGACTGCAAGGACATGAAGTCAACTTCTACCTGTCTGCTGCTGCTGGTGTCTAATGTATTCTTAGTTTGACCTGATTCCTCTTCTGTCTTTTGGCTTCATGTTAGGGGTTCTTGGTCAAAACCTGCTCTGATGTACATGAAGATTTCAGGTTCAAGATCCATGTGTTTTAAAACGTATTTTATAAACGGGAGAATTGAAGCAGGATATAATTGCCAAAACTGGCCTTGAGGTTAGTGACTCTTGGAAAGATTTTTCCTTAAGGCCTAGGTGTGAAAATTTAGTGCAGCAATATCATGAATTCTCAGAAGCAACCCTTTCAAGGGAGGCAGTGAGTCATACAGTATCCAGTCAAGTCACTTAAAGCAGAGGACAGTATAGGGAACTTTCACAATCCCTGGGCAATCTCATTTTCTTTCTCCTTTTTTTTCCCTCCCCTTTTCAACTCCTCTACCCCCTTATTTCTACCCTTGAATTAGTTTTTTGAGGGGTAGGAAGTACGTAACATCTCAGAAGCTAGGTTGCAAAACGTGCTTAGCTGTAAAAGCTGGGCTTTATTATTTTGTGTTTTAGAAATGTACATCAGGAGCAGTTGGGGAGGGTCTTTTCTAAAAAAAAATCTTTCAAATTTGATTTTCTGTGAGTATGGCCGTTCTTGTAAATACTTTGGGGTTTTTCATTTTTTTGAAAGTAGACAAAATCTGGGATTTTTCCCCCAAAACATTACAAAAGAACCTGTTTATTTACATGCAAATAAACTTATTTGATAAAAAGTAATATGCCTTCGTGTAGTAAACTTTTAACCTTTGAGTAATTTTCATTCGCTTTTTAAAGGATTTTGTTTATTTTTAGAGGAGGAGTTGGGGGAGGGTCAGAGAGAGAGAGACAAGCAGACTCCTGGCTGAGCAGGGAACTAGGTGGTGGCTCAACCCTGAGATCATTACCTAAACCAATCAAGAGTCAGCAACACAACTTACTGAGCCACCTAGGTGCCCCTATTCGGCTTTTTAAAAGTCCACCAATCAGAAAAAATTAAATCAGAAAGTAAGTCTTTCCTGATTATTACTCAGGTTAGCTGGAAAAGATAATTGAAACCTGGAAAAAGACCGGTGAAAGTTTTCTTCATTTGATTTTCCTGGCTTGAGCCAGTTTTATTATCTTCTGCAAAACTTAGTCACCAAATTCATCAATAATTGGGAGAAAATTGTTCTTAGATCAGATGGGACTGAAAAAGCTGTATTTATCTGAGTGAAGTGAAATAACATTAAAAGTAGCAGGCAGGAGAGCACATAACATCTAGACCTGGGTTTGTGGGCCTGAGAGTTTCCGAAGCTAGGTTCTTCGGTTAAGAAGCCCTTTCTAGGACAAACATGAGAAAGTTAAAAAAATGCTTGAAGAGTTAGGTAACAAAGCTTCCGGTTTGAATATGCCTTTTTTAATTTTTTGTATTTTATTTTTATAATTTTTACTTTTTTTTTAAAGAGCAGGAGCAGGGGTGGAGCTGGTGGATGGGGAGGGTCAAAGGGAGTCTATTTTTTTTTTTTAAAGATTTTTATTTATTTGACAGAGATCATAAGTAGGCAGATAGAAAGGGGGGGAGAAGCAGGCTCCCCGCTGAGCAGGGGCTTGGTCCCAGGACCCTGGGATCATGACCTGAGCGGAAGGTAGAGGCTTTAACCCACTGAGCTACTCAGGCGCCCCAAAGGGAGAGAGAATCTTAAGGAGACTCCACGCCTAGCTGCGAGCCTAAGAAGGGGCTGGATCTCACCACCTTAAGATCCTGACCTGAGGGGAAATCAAGAGTTGGATGCTTAAAGGACAGAGCCACCAAGGTGTCCCAGAATATGCCTGTTTTTTAAAAAAATCTCCAGCACAGTTGCTCTTCAATAAGCTCCTCTCTTTTACACATATTTTACTTTTTTTAAAAGATTTTATTTATTTATTTGACAGACAGAGATCACAAGTAGGTAGAGAGGCAGGCAGAGAGGGAAGCAGGCTCCCTGCGGAGCACAGAGCCCGATGCAGGGCTGGATCCCAGGACCCCGAGATCATGACCTGAGCCGAAGAGAGAGGCTTTAACCCACTGAGCCACCCAGGCGCCCCCACATATTTTATTTTTAACTACTCTCTACACCCAAGGGGGCTTGAACCCACAACTCCCATATAAAGAGTGGTAGGCTCCACCAACCCGGCTAGCCAGGTGCCCCAATAATCTCTCTTAAATCAGATTCATAACAATGCAGTCATTAAAGCGAATTAAAAGAGGTATGAAGACAAACATACTTACTTTGGAAATACAATCAGGGGCAATGATCCTGCCAGGACTGCTGGAATTTATGATACAGTTTCTAATACTTCATCTTTGGTACATGATTTTGCAGTTTGTCACTCTAAAAGAGGGTAAACTTATTCCTTAATCCATGGAAATTCGATCATAAATTTCAAGACCTTGAGGGCTGGCGTTGCTAAAGTATAATAATATGATGACACAAACTAGCTTTTATGGAAGGAGCCTAGGAGTCAGACGAATGTCGTAATTTCCACTGGCCAAGCGCCCCCCCCCCCCCGCCTACTCGTTAAGACACGCTTGTTTCTCCCGCCAAAGTGACGTCAGGATCAGGTTCTAACCAACCAGAGCCCTGATTGGAGGATGGGAAGGCACTAGAGCCCATTGGGCGCCAGCGGCAGTCTGGTGGCGGAGGGGCGGGGGAAGCCAAAGGCACTTCAGCCTCATCTGGCCCCCCCCAACCACCAAAGCGCGTCCCTCCCCCAGCTAAAAGGAGTGGTCGCCAAGCTCCTGCGCTGCACCCCCTGACCCCAAGGCGCGAGGTGCGGTCTCGCTGTATATTCCTGGAGCAGAGGGTAGCGCAGTTACCCCCGCCCCCGTCCTCCTGATCCATGCACAGGGAGACCCACGCCCTGCGGCGGCCCCCCAGGCCTCCCTGCAACACCCGGTAATGCAATCCACGGGGGCGGGGGAGGCGGCGGCATCGACAGCAACGACGGCGGCGGCGGCAGCAGCAGCAGCACTGCCTCAATCTAGAGACAACCAGAAAGCAGAGGAAAATGGCTCCGAGCAGGGACCGCCTGCTGCACTTTGGGTTCAAGGCGACAGTGAGTGACAGGGAAAGGGAGTTGGGTGGCCGGGAAGGACATATGTGGCTGCACAGGCTACCGGGGAAGAAGCGACAAGACTTAGGGGGCTGGGAGGACTTGACAGAAAGCTCAAGTGCTTGCTGGGTGGGTGCGTGCTGTCTGCCGGCGAAGGGGATTAGATGGGCTCCAGTACTATGTGCAGTTGTCCTGCTTTCCTCACTCGCGAGCACGCGCGTACTCACACCCTCCCCACGGCCCCTCCCATACACAAATACACACAGACAGATAGGCACTTCCCTTCTTCTCCTTCTCGCGGTGGGCTTGCGTGGCTCGGAGGCAAGAGCGGGTTCGCGCCGCCGCCGCCGCCGCCGCCGCCGCCGCGCTCCGGCTGCTCCCGGGCGGACAGTCGCGGACTGCGCCCGGGAGTGGGGGAGGGGTGGTCCCGCGCCGCGGCCGCCGCCGCGGCCGCCGCCGCGCGCTCCTCCTCCTCCCCTCCCCACGCCGTTCCAGGGCCCGGGCGGCTCTGCCCAATGAGGAGCGGCGTTGCTGGCAGGTGGGGAGTGTTTTTGTTTTGGGTTGAAGTTGAGGCTGAGGAGAGAGAAGAGCTAGCGACGAGCAGTCGTCGCCGCCGCCGGCTCTGCGGGAGGTGGAGGAGGCCCCGCCGGAGCCGAGAGGTTTCCCCTCCTCGCGGACGGCCCCTGCCCGCCGCTCCTCTACCTCTTCCCGGTCCCGGAACTCCGGGGCCTGTCCGGGGCCCCAGTCTTTGCACTCCGCACGCCGCAGCGCCCGGCCCCGGCCGCACCCGCCGGCCCCATGAGGAGGGACGTGAACGGAGTGACCAAGAGCAGGTTTGAGGTGTGAGCCTGGTGGTGGTGGTGAGGGTTTGGGGCGGAGTGAGCAAGGCGATTCCCGCTCTTGTGCCCCGAAAATTTCGCTCCGCACGGAGCCTCCTCCCTTGCCTGGCGCCGTCATCCACCGACCGCTGGGGTTGCCAGACTTCTTCCCCCTTTTTCGCGACCCGAAAGCCGGGTGCAGCCCAGCTTTTCTAGTCCTCCGGGCTGGTCACCTCCAGCCTTTTCCACGAGCGGGCCCCGGCTAGGGATTAGCTCTGGCGCCCTAATTCCCCCCTCCCCCCAGTATCACTCAGCTTTCCATTCTTTACACAACCCTTGGCTTGCCTCCCTCCACCCGGCAGAAAAAGCATCACGGCTCCGATCAACCGGAGCTGGCTTCTTTTCTTTCTGCCACCTTCTTCGAGAGGGAAATTACGGGCCAGAGGGCCATTTCTCAGAGTTTCAGAGACCTTGGTTAAACTGGGGAAGTGGGGGGTGGTAGACAGGGATGATAGAGACGACCACGAGTTTTCGTTGCGGTGTTTGGTTTGGGTATTGTTCTGATACTTCCTCTTCTTTCCCGTTTAGTCTGTACTTTTGTAGCTCATTGTTTCTGGGAACTCTTAGATGTGTACGGTCTTTGAGGTTGGGACGAAGGTTGGAGAGACTTCAGAAAATCCGTTCTTTAAGAACTTTTTCTCCTTTGGCGAGAAGGGTTAATATAAAGCTAATGGAGGAATGAATGAGGAAATAGGAAAACACCTGAAAGCGTCTTCAGTGAGTAGTTACCGTGTTAAGGAAGTGATTCCTTTGGGAAGTGAGGTATTCTAACTGCGGGTGAATTTCAGTAGTGTTTACTGAGGGGATAAGGGAAAGAAACTTCTGCAATTGGAAGAGTAAATGTTACCTAGCCCTTTCTGGCAGAGAATCAGACTGATCTGGGATCACTCACAGCTCAGTGTACATCTCACTTGGTGTTTTTCTTCATTTCCATTTGCAGGATGAAATTGTAAGACCCTGAAACAAAAGTTTAAGGAAACTTGCCCACTAGGTGCCGGGTGTGAAACTGTTACTTAAGTGTCTTCAGTTTAGTCTGTTCCTTGGTTTCTTTTTATGCTTATGGGGAAACTGTTTTGATTTATTCAGGAAGATCTGGGTGGAAAGTGTTGGGGAGAAGTTTAAATTCAGAGTGCTACAATATTACTGTTGGAGGTGAGGAGTGGAGAAAAATGAAGAAATTGGCTTCTTTAGAGTTTTCGTATTTAATTTAATCATAGGAAGAAAATATAGTAGATATAATTTGGTGTTTACTTGAACAGAACTTTAGGTTGCCTTGAAGTAGAGAGATCCAATAAGCTTAATTTAGGGTGGTTTTGTACATAGTGCTACTGTATGGTAAAAGTCCAGACCATCATTAAAATTATTGAGTGGACTTTTATCAGTTAACAGGACTCTTGAAAGAGAAACCCACATACTGAAGATCAGAGTGGGGGATAGCCTTTTGCCATTGCAGTGTGCATTTTGCTATTTTCTTTTAGACTGAGTTATTGTTGGAAGGAGTTCTTTTGTAGTATGTGTTTTAAAATTAAATTGCTGAATCCTATTTTTGTAATTACCTTATATTTTAATTTGTAGTTTACCTGTAGTGGTGGTACTATCATAATAAAATTGATTGCCTTGTTAAGTATATGTCCTTACCTTGAACTAAACCAATGGAAGCTTTCTAAAGGTGTCTGATAAGATAAAGAATAAGAGGGGATTAAAAAAACCCTCCTTCTACAGTATTCATGATTAGTTTTTGGTTTACAAATATTTTAGTCTTTTATTATGATAAGAAGGGGTCCAATTTACAAGTAGTAAAACAAGTTGTTAGGTCTCTTATGAAGTAGTAAACTTACTGCTAATTCATTGAAAACATTTTAAATATTTAGTTTCAATGGATAAGACATGTAGACAAGGCAGTCTTTTCATATCTAAAACATTTACATCAAGTTACCTTGTTTTCTTTTTTAAAGATTTTTATTAGTTTATTTGACAGAGAAAGAGACAACGAGAAAGGGAATACAAGCAGGTAGAGTAGGAGAGGGAGAAGCAGGCTTCCCAGGGAGCAAGGAGCCGGATGTGGGGCTTGATGTGGGGCTTGATCCCAGAACTCTGGGATCATGACCTGAGCTGAAGGCAGACACTTAATGACTGAGCCACCTAGGTGCCCTCAGGTTACTTTTTTAATTCTCGAAATTACAGAATGGTCTTTAAAGGACCGATAGTTTTATGATTGTAAGTATAGCTGATCCCTGAGAATTTTTTTTGAGGGGAGGACATTTTTGTAGCAAATAATAACTCATTTCAAATTATGGTTAATACAGGGACGCCTGGGTGGCTCAGTTGGTTAAGCAGCTGCCTTCGGCTCAGGTCATGATCCTGGCGTCCTGGGATCGAGTCCCACATCGGGCTCCTTGCTCGGCGGGGAGCCTGCTTCTCCCTCTGCCTCTGCCTGCCGTTCTGTCTGCCTGTGCTCGCTCGCTCTCTCTCCCTCTCTGACAAATAAATAAAAAATCTAAAAAAAAAAAAAATTATGGTTAATACAGAAAGTGAAAGATTACTGTTTTCTTTTTCTTGGTCACTTTTTTTTTCTGGGTGGAAGATTGATTCATTAAAATCTTAGAAGGAATATTATGTGCATTATGCTTTTGGATGTTGTAATGCAGGCCACACACTTTAAATCTCATGCTCAGGGCTGGAGCTGTAGAAAAAAAATTTTAAGTGAAAATAAAGGGAGTAGAATACTCCAGATATGGAGTCAGATATGTAGCATCCTGTAGAATAGCCAGAGTAGACGATAGCCGGGTAAAAGAGCTAAAGAGATACAGAGATGTGAAAATGTATTGTTCTTTGCTATATCACTTTAGCATTAACTTTCCACAAAAGTAACTCTTAGAAGCTAACATAGTGCTGACTAATGTGTCTCTCAGTTGAAATTCTTCATCTAAATACTTTTTATTACATTACTTATAGTATACATTGTTTTGTGGCAAATATTGATAATTTCCTTTCAAACTTAATTGAATCCTGCATGTCACTCCCTGAGATAGATGTTTTACCTCAGTTACTTCTAATTCTCACAATTCTGTTTTACCGTTGAGGAAAGCTGGGGCCTAAGAAGTGCTCAAGTTGCACAGCTAGTAAATGGGGGAGCCAAGATTCCAACCTGCTCTCTGTCATTCTGCTCTGTTTTTAGCATAACATAGCATAAATACCCATAAAATGTGTGGACAATTACTTTGCTACATTTCTTCATCCAGTATATTTTATTTTGTCTTTGCTATCAAGAATGAAGTTGTCTTTCATTTGAAGTACTATAATGCATGTTACCTTTTTAAAAAAAGTTTAGGGGGGAGGGGCAGAGGGGAAAGCGAGAGAATTTTTTTTTTTTTTTTAATTTATTTGACAGACAGAGATCACAAGTAGGCAGAGAGGCAGGCAGAGAGAGAGGAGGAAGCAGGCTCCCTGCCCAGCAGAGAGCCCAATACAGGCAGATCCCAGGACCCCAGGATCATGACCCGAGCCAAACACTGAGGCCTTAACCCACTGAGCCACCCAGGCGCCCCTGAGAGAGAGAATCTTAAGCAAGAGCAGTCACCATGCCCAGTGTGGAGCTTGACTTGGGGGGCTGATCTCACAACCCTGAGATCATGATCTGAGCTAAAATCAATAATTGGATGCTGGGATGCCTGGGTGGTGCAGTCCATTAAGGTCTGCCTTCTGTTCAGGCCCTGATCCTGAGGTCTTGGGATCATGTCCCACATCAGGCTCCTTGTTCAACGGGGGATCCTACTTCTCCTTCTGCCTGGCATCCCCCCTGCTTGTGTTCTCTTGCTCTCTCTCTCTCTCTGACAAATAAATAAATAAAAAATTTTTTAAGGTTTTTTTTTAAGGTTTTTTTTTTTTTTTTTTTTTTTTTTTGACAGAGGTCACAAGCAGGCAGAGAGGCAGGTAGAGAGTGGGGAGGGGAAGCAGGCTCCCTGCTGAGCAGGGACCACCCCCCCCCCCCATGTGGGGCTTGATTCCAGGGTCCTGGGATCATTACCCCAGCCGAAGGCAGAGGCTTAACCCACTGAGCCACCCAGGTGCCCCTAAATAAATAAAATATTTTTTTAAAAAAAGTGTTGCTGGGACGCCTGGGTG